TGCGTTTTAGTGGCATTAACGACTTGCTTATGGTTGAAATGATTAAAAAAGCTGTAGATCGTCCTGATCGCCTGGGAGTTGAAAGGGTATGACATTGAGTAAGAGAGAGAATGAGAAAATATAGATTATTGAGAGAGAGAGAGAGAGAGAGAGAGAGAGAGAGAGTGAGAGAATATCGATTATGTTAGAAATGTAAGTGATTGATCGACAAAAGAACGTGGTAGAGATCAAGACTAAATGAGCTGATTTAGACTAAAAGGCTTGGATTTGTCAGCACCCTCTCGCATCCGAGCATCGGAATTGTCACCCTAATTCCCTTTCTCCCCTCTCCTGGCCGTGACGGTGATGGCTGTGAAGGTCTATCCTACTCCTGAAGAGTAGTCAAAGAGAGATTGACGGGGCCATTCACATGAATCTGACTGTTTGTGGAAACTCAGACGCACACACACTTGATCAGGGACGCGCTTCCCTTGCGGGGCTCAATTAACTGAATTAAAACGTGTGGCAAAACAATGAATCAAATATTTCTGAAATGCTTCAGGGTGCTCAGGATTTAATTTTAATTTCTAACGTTTCTTTGCATATAAATGATTAGGTAATTATATCTTTTCAACTTCAAAATGGACTTATTTTCAAAATGAGAAATAATCAACTTCAAATTGGATTAATCAACTTCAAATTGAGAATTAATATAATACTAATAAATTTAATATTTATTCTTTTATTTTTACTTAAAAGGGATAAAAAAAATATAAACGTGCCTAAGAAATTTATTTAAAAGATTACATCATCTAAGTTAATTATAGAAGGAAGTAATTTCTGTATTCCAGATACGAAGTTAGTGCAAGTCTCAGGGGAAATATTATTAATTGCCTCGGAGATTATCGCTTCTCACTTGCTGAGGCGGAATTCTTTAGTAGTTAAAGATCCCTGACCATCACCTCTTAAAATCCCAACAATTGAGTCTGCTTTTTACGTCAGCTTTAATGACTGACCAAACATTTTCAATGGGATTTAACATCGGACTATAGGGGGCAAGTCTGAAAATTTGGTGTTGCCTATATTCATCCTCCTCCACAACTTCTTCAATTGAATATGACAAGGGGCGTTATCAATAACTATGACAACTCACCTTTCATAAATTTCATTTGCCTTTCTAAGGCACTCCCTGGTCCATTCTTTCGCATCCTCTGTTTTTGAAAGAACCACTTTTAATTTTATGATGAATTAATCCATTATTACTAATACATCCAATAACATGGATGTTATGTCCCCTGGATCTGGCCGCGACTGTAGTGCACCTCGTGATTTTTTAAGAGCGGCCTTCTCTTCTTGAAATATAGAGATTAAAATTGGTTTCATCCATATAAAGAATTAGCACACTTTGGGACTGAAATTCTAATAAAGCTACTGCGTAATCCTTACGTTTCGCCTTATTGACATTATTATTGGCAGCTTCTGGTTCATAATGAACCGCTTTTAAAGTAAAGGCCATGGAGTCTAAGTGCTTTCTGACGCATTCTTTCGTCACACGAACCTCATATTTTTCGACGAAATTATTTACAATGTCTTGAAGAGTGACCCTAGGAGAGTTTTCAATTAATTCGGCCACAAAATTCTTATGCTCTTGCGTAATTTTATAATTTCTTGCTCCTCCCCTAGAGTCACTCTTATCAGCACCCTGGTCTAACCAACGGTACGCTGTTGGCAGAGGCGCCCAATTGTTCTTGCAAGGTCTTTCCAATTTCCTGCTGCGGCATGTGCAGCTAAAATCTGGGCCTTTTTTTTGCCAGTCACAGTTTCCTTGAGGTAAGTCCTCTTTGGAGCTGTTGCTAATTCTTCTTCAGCTTCTTTTGTAGAGGTTTCTCCAGCATCATCATCAATCATCATTTTAGCCCATACGGGTCTTTCTCCTCCTACTTTTACTGTAGGCTCACCCAATGCTTTCTTGGCTTCTCAGTTGTTTGTATTTTGGTTTTTTCTCCATCTATATAATGAAGACGAACAGTCAATTTCCTTACTCATGGGGTAAATTAATTGAAAAAATAATTTTCAATTTACCAAAAGAAAAATCTCAATTTGAAGTTGTTTATTCCAATTTGAAGTTGTTTATTCTTGTTTTGAAGTTGATTGTATTTAGGTTTTTGACATTTTCTCAATTTGAAGTTGATTAATCCATTTTGAAGTTGATTGATCTAATTTGAAGTTGATTGATCCATTTTGGAGTTGATTGATCCAGTTTGAAGTTGATTGTTCCATTTTGTAGTTGATTGATCCAATTTGAAGTTGATTAATCCATTTTGGAGTTGATTAATATTTTTACTTGAAAATAAGTCCATTTTGAAGTTGATTATTATCATTTTGAAGTTGAAAAGGTATAGACACATTCCCAGATTAAAATGATGTGCAGTTACTTGCCAAAAATAATCTGAATTTATCACGCACACACACACGCAGAGCTTAGTTTAATCTGGCGTATAAAAAATACACGCACACCTAAATTACATCGTACCCCTTTAAACTAGTTCATGCCATACAAGGCGTTCACTAGGGGTACCTCGTAGTGGTGTAATGGTTAACAAGCTTGTCTCGCTAGAACATGTTACGACTGAGTAGTGAGTTCGATCCTCACTGGGTGCTCCATACTTCTGGCCTTGTGCCACACCTAAGCAGCGCTTAGAAAATCACTACAAGGCGTTCACTAGTACATGAATATTTAAACTATAATCTACAGACAACCATTGGATCAATAATTGAAATTGGCTTCAAGCGAATAATTGACGTCTCAAAAAAGACAATTCCTCATTAGGTCTAAACTCTGACGCTATCATAAAGTGTTTTACCGAATAACAAAAACCACATGACTTGAAAACTTCCAACAACAACAAAAATTGGTAGCATATATATCTAGAAGGGAATAATAATTATATAATCAATATGTTAACTTTCCACACGACCTTAAACAATATGTTTGGGAGAAAAGTCCCATCACTACTAGAAAGAGCAATAACAGATAGTGGACTTGAAAAGTGTTATTTCCTGAAAAATTGTTTTAAGAAAAAAAGTTGATAAATTTTAACCATTTAACTATTCGGTCATTGAATAACGAACGCTCCCTGTATGGAAACATTTAATGATTACCTCAGGAATGGACTGATTTTTTTTTCTAATGAATGCATTATAAGTGGTTTTATTATGTATATAACTGTTGAATTTCTACACTACCTTAAACAAAAGGTTTGGATGGAAACATCCTTCATCCTAGAAATAATATTAACATGTAATGGACATGGGGAGGCTAAAATTTGTTCTCTCTTCTTTATAGGTTTTTTCTTGTCTCAAACTTAATAACCCCTTGCGTCTTAGTGGCTTTATTGTCTTTCTTGGGATGAAATGATTAAAACAGCTTTTTAAGAAAAATACTTTAGGAATTTTATTCGACAGTAGCGCAAGATGTTTGATGAAGGAATGCTTATTGTTTGCCGTATGGAAACGGCTAATTTCACAGTTTACGATTGCCAAACATTGCTAGTCTACTTTCGTAGAAATCGATCTGCAGTACTCGTATATAATATTTTATGAAACGTAATATTTTTCTCATGGGTGGGTGTTGTCGTGTAATGGTTATCGGTTTTGAAATCGTTGAGACGAGTTCGAATTCCAGTCGAGTTCGTGACATTCACTTACATGCACTTGGAAAGCTATGAATCCATCTCTTCTCCTCCCAGCTATGGGTTGAATAACAGGACAGACAGGGTCCTATAGCCTTGGTTGGCAACCAGTTTACTGCAGAAAAACGGCAACCTATTGCGGGGAAAATCTTCTGCCTAGTCAGTCATGAATCGAAAAAGACATGATCGCCCAAGCGTTTATCACGTATGGTACTTAACTGACTGAATATGTTTATAATGAAATTGATATCAAGCAACCCCTACATGTAAAACTTTCAGGATCTACTTATATTAATAGGATAAATATACAATGTCAATTTCATCTTATGATTTCTGTTTTTATTAGAAATATTTACGATAATTTATTTGATGATGTATGATGTTATGTAACTCAAAGTTTTTTCATCATATTGTAAATGAATATAAAGAACAGAATAGTTATTGATGTTTATTTCCTTGGGGGTTCGATAACGAATCGATAGACACTTGTAGAAGGCTGAAGAACATAACGGCCGAATCTGTGCGATGATAATAACAAAGTTCGAATGTAAGTAATGTGAATAATGATAACTCACCATTTTAGAAATTCAGACAGGAATTTATTTTTTAATTCAAGATATATAAAAACTGATATGCGTTGTGAGAAAGATATAAAGCACATAAAAATAGAAAAGGATATCAAAAACATCCTAAATAATAATAAAAAAAATAACATAATTAAATAAAATTTCAGGCATTGACGTTTGAAGTATAGAGTCAAAGTAGACTTTAGAAGGAACCGGAAACAGTTCTTAACATGAAACAAGAGATGAACCTCTACTCCTGTCCAAAAGACTGGGGAGGAGTTTGAACCAGGCGATAGGCGAACCTATCAATTCTTATTGAAGCGAAAAAAAATAAATAGTAAATTAATTGACAGCGTTCAGGCAGAGACATTTTCTACGGTTTATCAATATTTTGATGGTTATTTAAAGCCAGAAAATATTTTTAGAGTCTAATAATTTTTGGTCGGTGGGGAGGAGGTAATAATCGTTTAATGATACAAGTCTTACTAATTAACCCATAGAAGGAAGAGGTGGATTCATAACTTTTCCAAGGTTATTTGCGCCTAAGTGAATATAAAGACCGCAACGGGAATGGGAACTCGGCTCTCCGATTAACAATTCCGAGCCTTTATCAGTTACACCACCCACACATCCAAGCTTACTTCGAAAGCACTCAACTATCTAGTTGTTGACCAGACTCGACGTTGCTTAACTTTGGTGATGGTACGTGAACTGATGATTTGAAGTGATGTGACCGTAAGACCTACCACACACATATCCAAGCTAACAACACCTGGTATCCCCAAGGGATCAGCCAACTAGGTGCTGACCTGGCTCAACGTTGCTTAACTTTAGTGATCATACGGGAACCGGTGTTACGACGTGATGTGACCATAAGACATATCACCCGCATATCCAAGCTCACATTAGTTGGTATACTCAAGAGGTCAGCCATCTAGGTGCTGACCAGGCTTGATGTTTGGCGATTGTACGGGAACCGGTGTTTTGACTTGATGTGGCCGTAAGCCGACATAACAGAGAATAATTAAAAAAGACAAGCATTGTTAAGAGTTAAAAACGATAGGAAGTTGTAGGAAAATTTCCCCATGTTCTTAGGGGAAAATAAAAGATGTTTCCTTGCGAACGTATTAATAAAATTTGTCTTGAAAAACCAGCATATAATGAATAAGAATCAAACTAGTTGGTTATCTGTTTTTCGAATTCCTCCTAAGATTCTTTCTATTTTTGATACTTTTAGAAACGGTCTGAAAAAGAAATCTCATAACGTTATGATTGAAGAATGGAATTTGTAATATTCGCTTTCTGGCTTACGTTCTTTTCTCTTTTTTTTTCTCTATAATTGTTAGAAGCCAATACACATTATATATTCCTGAAAGAAGACAAGAAGATCAAATCGTTGAATAGATTTGAGAAGAAAATTGTGGTAATTTAAGAGTAGATATAGAAAAATAAATTCAGTTAAAATGATTCCTGTTGACTGATTAATATACACGTCTTTTTTCTAAAAAATGTTCTAACAGAGATGAAAGTATTTATGGCGATGGAATGTATCATTTAGCATTAACATAAAGAGATATTCCGGAGCTTGCTAAAAACAAGCAATATATGCTATCTATCTATCTATCTATCTATCTGAGTTTTTTTTTTTTGCTGTTTTTAAAGATTTGTTTGGTGAGTGATTTTGTGAGCATGTAAAATAGAAAAAAAAAAAAAAGTTGGGCACTTGCCAACAAAGTCACAAAAAAATGTTAAGAAAAAGCAGGCAATGTCTGCAGAACTATTTATGATAAGGCAAACGTGCAGTGCTAACGTAAAACCATGGCAACATCTTAAAAAAAGAAATCAAAATAGGTCTATTATATTTACGATCTAGATATGGCCTCACATATTTTCGCGCATGCGCACACACCCAATTTAAATTTAAATTTAATATTTTTTGGTACTGTGGTTTAAAAAATCTGATTAATGAATTAAAGATTATCGAATTCTCATTTATAAAATAGGAAATTAGAAGCCGTATATAAAAACAATTAGGACCGAAACCGGGCCGTTATCTTCGTTCGTGTGAGCAGAAATAGTAATTTTTTTTTTTTACCTTGAAAACATTTAGATAGATAGATAGATAGATGGATAGATAGATACACACACACACACACACACACACACACACACACACACACACACAGGCAGCCGATCCAACAGACAGATAGAATGTCATATTATGGAACACGAAAGCGAAAATATTAGTAGAATGCAAAAGAAACACGCGCAGTAACAACCGAAGTATTATCAGCCGCAGTATTCCCATATGACACTGTGATAATTACTGACACAGAAAGGAAATTACAGGAACTCCTACAGAAGGTAGTAAAAGAAAGCGAGAAGAAAGGACTAACATCAATTGTAAGATGACAAAATGGATGCTTGTCAGCACAAAAAAAAAAGAACCCAACATACGAATTACTAATTGGAGATGTGAACATTAAACAAATACAAAAATTCAAGTATGTAAGAAATGTTTTAACAGGGGATGGAAAAAGTGACACCATAATCCAAAGGCGCATTGGGATACTGAAAGATACCTTCCAAAAGTTAAGCAAAGTATGAAGGAACAGAATGGTTTCGTTAGAAACAAAGAAAAGAATACCGAAGGGTTTTGTAATATCGGCCCTCCTATATGGCAGTAAATGCTGGACAATCTCCTCATAGATAAAGAAGAGACTTGAGGGGGACAGAGAGGTTGTTCTACAGAAGGATGATGAGAATACCATGAATTGAGCATGTGCGCAACGACCTATTTCTGGAGAAAATAGAAATCAAATATGAGCTTATATGCAGCAACAGAAAGTGACAGTTGAAATTTTCAGAGACTGGAAGGGGGACTTGGAGAATATGACATTGAGAGGACATATTGAAAACAAGAAAAACAGAGGAAACCAGTGCATAACCCCTGCCTAACGAGCTTGTGTAAATGGTTGACAGAAAAGGGATTAGGAGAGATAATGAAAAGACAACATTTACTAAGAGCTACAAAGGACGGGAAGTTGTGGTGAGCCATGATCACCCACGTACTGAAGGTACACGGAACATAGAAGAAGATCTCCGAAAGTGCACTGGGATAGTGAAAGATGCCTTTCAAAAGCTAAGTAAAGTATTAAGAAACAGAAAATGTTTGTTAGAAGCAAAGAAAAAGAGTGCTGATCTGCTATGCAATATCAGTTCTCCCACATGTCAGTGAATGCTGAATACTTTCCTCACAGAGGAAAGGGAAACTTGAGGCAGGAGAGATATGGTTATACAGAAGGATGCTGAGAATACTATTGACGGGGCAACGAGACTGTTTTAAAAAATGGAAACGAAATGGACAATTAGAATCAGAAAGAGCCAATTGAAATTACTAAGACAAATAATATGGAAAGAAGGCTTGGAGAATTGGTCATTCAAAGGGCGTGTTGAAGGCAAGAAGGAAGACGTGAAACAGCGAGTAACCGACCTAACGAGCCTTTGTTAATGGATGGCATATTAGGGACTAGATGGTATAGTAAAAAAAGGGGGGGTATTTGCGCGTACGTAGATATAACGAAACTAGCGGAATCTGGAACTCGGTTCTTCGATTAATAATTCCATTACACAACACGAACATCCAAATTCAGATGGAGACGAGACTTGAAACAACAGAATTGGAACAGAGAAAGATGTCTTCCAGAAGCTGAGCAAAGTATTAAGGAACAGAAAAATATTGTTATACTGAATTGTTACATGCTATCAGGTCTTCTATACGGCAGTGAATGCACAGATGAAGAAGTAACTTGAAGCAACAGAATTGGAACAGAGAAAGATGTCTTCCAGAAGCCGAGCAAAGTATTAAGGGACAGAAAAAATATTGTTAGGAACAAAGGAAAGAGTACTGAATTGTTACGTGCTATCAGGTCTTCTATACGGCAAATGCATGATGAAGAAGTAACTTGAAGCAACAGAATTGGAACAGAGAAAGATGTCTTCTAGAAGCCGAGCAATCTATTAAGGGACAGAAAAAAATATTGTTAGGAACAAAGGAAAGAGTACTGAATTGTTACATCAGGTCTTCTATACGGCAGTGAATGCACAGATGAAGAAGTAACTTGAGAACAGAAAAGATGTCTTCTAGAAGCCGAGCAAAGTATTATATTGTTAGGAACAAAGGAAAGAGTACTGAATTGTTACGTGCTATCAGGTCTTCTATACGGCAGTGAATGCACAGATGAAGAAGTAACTTCAACAGAATTGGAACAGAGAAAGATGTCTTCAGAAGCCGAGCAAAGTATTAAGGGACAGAAAAAAATATTGTTATACTGAATTGTTACGTGCTATCAGGTCTTCTATACGAAATGCACAGATGAAGAAGTAACTTGAAGCAACAGAATTGGAACAGAGAAAGATGTCTTCTAGAAGCCGAGCAAAGTATTAAGGGACAGAAAAAATATTGTTAGGAACAAAGGAAAGAGTACTGAATTGTTACGTGCTATCAGGTCTTCTATACGGCAGTGAATGCACAGATGAAGAAGTAACTTGAAGCAACAGAATTGGAACAGAGAAAGATGTCTTCCAGAAGCCGAGCAAAGTATTAAGGGACAGAAAAAATATTGTTAGGAACAAAGGAAAGAGTACTGAATTGTTACGTGCTATCAGGTCTTCTATACGGCAGTGAATGCACAGATGAAGAAGTAACTTGAAGCAACAGAAATCTATATATTGATGCTGAGAATATGAGGAACCCTGAAGATGTAAGCAAGGAAAAGGTTTAAAGAAAATGGAAACAAAACGAGCACTTATAGTTAACATCAGGAAAAGACAATTGAAATTTCTAGGGCACATAAAGAGGAAAGAAGGTTTGGAAAATTTGATACTTTGAAGGCAAGAGGGATAGATGAAAACAACGTATAACCTACTTAGTGAGCTTGAGTAAATGGATGGCGGAACAAGGTTTAGGAGTGATAAAAAAACAAATTTTATTAAGACCTAGAAAGGACAGAAAATTGTGGAGAGCCATGATCGCTAACGTCCACACGGCACATAGAAGAAGAAGAGTAAGGCAATATGGGTTCAGCCTGTTTGTAAAAAAAATACGTTTCTCGTGAGTCAGCTCATTATACAGCTAATGTGGTAGTACGTACATACAGGAACTTGACCGCAAATGTACGATCTCCTATAGGTATATAATAGTGAGTTAGTGAGAGAGAGAGAGAGAGAGAGAGAGAGAGAGAGAGAGAGAGAGAGAGAGAGAGAAAGAAAAGAAGGAAGCAGCTAATTAGATTAAGATTCGTATAACTGTAATTAACTTGTAAGGAAAAGAAAGATAATTAGATGTGTTTTCATTCAAATTTCATCTTCAAGAAAACGGAAGTTAATAATTGATACGCATTAGATGACAAGGAAAGGTTCGTATTAAATGATAAAATATAAATAAATGAAAAGAAATAAAAAAATCCAGTATTGATTTAAAATAAAATGCAATATTAATCTCTCTCATTCGACAGAATAAATGTATGTAGTTATATTTCAACAAAAATCGAAACAAAAACAATAGATTTTTATTGTCATATCTCAGCAATAAAATCCCAAATTGCGTATAGTGAACTCTAATGTCATATTTCAATTTATAGGGGCTTATGAACCTAGTATTACAGTAGAACTGAACCGTTAGACACCGACACATATACAATCTGATTATAATGGTGAAGGCTTAAGGTCGACCCAGCCACACTTTTAAAAAGAATTGATAACAGTGAAATGGCGTACACATGAGATGCATGCTACGAAATCTCTAAACAACTCTCCTCAGGTTTGAATACAGAGTTGTCCTTCTAGACTGCCCGCTAACCAAGGCAATAAGGAT